ACGATGTGGCATCCGAGGGGCAAGCTGCCGAAGCCTCTGATGGAGAGGAGGCTCAGGAGCAGGACGATGTGGCATCAGAGGGGCAAGCTGCCGAAGCCTCCGAGGAAGAGGCTGCTGAGGAGCCGGACGATGTGGGATCAGAGGGGCAAGCTGCTGAAGCCTCCGAGGAAGAGGATGCTGAGGAGAAGGACGATGTGGGATCAGAGGGGCAAGGTGCTGAAGCCTCCGAGGAAGAGGCTGCTGAGGAGAAGGACGATGTGGGATCAGAGGGGCAAGCTGCTGAAGCCTGCGATGGAGAGGAGGCTGAGGAGAAGGACGATGCGGGATCAGAGGGGCAAGGTGCTGAAGCCTCCGATGGAGAGGAGGCTGAGGAGCAGGACGATGCGGGATCACAGGGGCAAGCCGCTGATGGAGACGACGATGAGGAGAAGGACGTGGCATCAGAGGGTGAAGCCTCTAATGTGGAGGAGGATAAAGAGGATGATGTGGGATCGGAGGGGCAAGCTTCCCAAGCCTCTGATGAAGAGGAGGATGAGCAGAAGGACGATGTGGGCTCAGAGCGCCAAGCTCCCGTAGCCTCTGATGTGGAGAAGGATGAGCAGGACGGATCGGAGGCTGAGGCTGCCGCAGCCTCTGATGAGGAGGATAAGGAGGACTGTGTGGGATCAGAGGGACAAGCCGCAACCGAAGCCTCTGATGGAGAGGAGGAGGATAAGGACGAGGATATGGGATCCGAGGGGCAAGTGGCACAAGCGTCTGATGAGGAGGACACCGCAGGATCTCATGATGACAAAGCAAAGCAGGTTGTTGCAGCAGCTGAGGAGGAGGGCCAAGGCCTGCTTATTGGAAGTTGCCACATATGATATATGTAAACCCAATGTACCCAATAAACTCAACATCCGGATCAGGTGTTCCTTCCCCTCCGAAGCTGCAGCGCGACTCTCGCAAGAATTAGCTTGATCTGCATTATCGTGTTCTGTACTACAATACTAGAAGAAAGCCGAGGCACGAGCGCTGAGCCGGGGGAACTCCATGCAGTATGACATCAGCTATGAGCAGAAGCCTGGCAGAGCTGTGTCGGCAACACTCACCAATGTGGATTTGTCCGCATTGCAGACACTAGGATCGATTATGCATGCAGGGGTTCCAGTCACTTGTATATGTCAGCATCCCACCATGAGGAAGGCAGCCCTCCAAGAGACTGACAAGAGCCCGATCACACCCTCTGAACAGTTGGCACTGCTACGCGCGGAGCGGGGATCCAAAAGGTGGGATTCGATAATGTAGCCCGAAGCCCAAAGCTTTTTTTGCTGAAGCACCCGAAGCTCTAAGGCTGAAGCCCCCGAACCCCTGACAGGAAAGCCCCGTCGCAAGCGGTCTCAACAACGCCCCTTGCAGACGGGTGGTACAAGGAGCTGAGGGAGAGGAAGAAGGGAGCCCAACAGGGCTCTTTGTACGTCTGCTACACGAATGCAAAAGGTCAGACGTTCGACAGTCGCAAGAAAGCAGAGGCAGCAGGCTGCGTCGACCCATCGCATCTTGGCCAACAGAGAGACACAGAAGGACACAGACAGAGGCAGAGTGAGAGAGGAGGGGAGAGACAGAGAGAGAGAGAGAGAGCCTGAGGGAGTTTGTGCATTCATCCAGATCGAGTTCAACAGCCCAGGCCGGATGGACGCACAGCGAAGAAAAAGGACAAAGCTGGGCCCAAAGCGAAGGCCAAAGCAAAAGGAAAGGCAAAGGCAAAGGCGAAAGCCAGAGGAAAGAAGAAGGACACGCCGGAGACAAAGTCCGAAGACGATGGTGCAGAGTCCAATGAAGATGAGCAGGACTAGGCCGGTGCCTGCCATGGCTATCCCGACAAAATTAAGCGCCCCTAACCCTAAACCCTGAGTCCATGCAATGATGTGACCCACCCCCCTCAACTCCAATAATGACTGCCCTCATTGCAGGCTGTGCTATGATCGCTGCCTATGGTATCCCTGGATGTGGCATGGCCCATGTGTGAGGATTGGGGAATTATGGGTGCTCCCAAGCTGAAAACCCCAGTGTCTCTTGCATGCATCGAAGCTGCTGCTCACTAAATCACGTGCAGTATAACCTTGTGTGCATTGGTGCTCGAGCTTTGTTGCAGGAGGGGTTGGTGCAATACATATTATACCCGAAATCCGGACTCTGATAACCAACCCTAGACTCGATCCCATGCAACCCTAAAACCAGGTAGGGTTCTCGGCAGGCCAAATGCTGCTGGCCTACAAACACAATATCCAGGGTGGATTATATTAATTATAATTATATATAATATATATTATTAATATCCACCCTGGATATTGTGTTTATAATAGGGGTATCAATTAATATAATCTTGCAATGAAGCTGGCAATGCTCGCCGCTGTCCTCGCCTTCGTGCAGAGGGAGATGTATCAGCCAGATCCAGCGTTGAGAAATGATTTCGTGCCTTGGATGTCAGTTAAATACCAATTGATTATCAAGGTCTCAGTACTCTGAACACTAAACCCTAAACCCTAAAACCTAAACCCTAAACCCTTAACCGCAACCCCGAAGCTGAGGTTGAACACTGTGCTGGAGATGGCAACTTGAGCAGGGGCTTCACTCTGCTGGGCTACAAAGGCAAGCGCTTCGATGTGCCTCGTATGGAATTCTGTCTTGCTCGACTGAAATCAAATACAACAATTGTGCCACGCATGTTGGCCTATCTCAGAAATCATACTCTGGGAATCACGACTTTATGCGGACAGTGGGATTCCTGGTGCTGCTCGGAGCAGCTACTCAGCTGAGTGCTGGCCCTGTGCATCGGACACATGTTTTGCACACTACATCGACGCAGCATTTCGTTCGAGGTTCTGAACGCAGCCCCGCATGGCTTCCTGATGTGTGCCCCACCATGCAGCAGTTGGGTGTTCATGCAGCTTGTCTGTTAACATTCATTATTGTCTTCTGCATGCACACTCAGAATGGGCATCCCCCATCATTCAGGTCTCAGGCTGCCACGGGCCGGCGACTTCACTTGCCGCAGGGCCACAGCTGGAAAAAAAACATTCATTATGCCAATATGTTTGTGGAGCGCCTCTGCCACATCTTGCGACTGGCCTCGCAATTGAATGTGTTTTGGGCCATGGAACAGCCTGCATCTTCTGTGCCTCTGCTTGCAGCATGACTTCTGATTGTGTTCAGTTGGATCCGCGATTTCCCAAGCATGTTGGACACATGCAGTCTTTGAGGTGCTGTGGCGCATGCCTTGTGTCAAGGCCACACTTAGAGCCTGCAAAGCCCGACGTGTGAGTTTTTTCATGTGCTCATACGGGGTGGCTTCCCTCAAGCCTACTGTGCTCCTTGCCTGACTAATCGTTGTGGAAGCTTTTTGCCAAGTGTGTGTTGTAGGTCATTAGCCTTGCAAGCAAGGATCTGGTCGACACTGCCAAACATCGAGAAGCTCCGCAAGCCCTTGAACTTGAAAGCTGCTAAAGCAGCCTTTGCCGCAAGGACCTTCGGATCCCAAACCCATATCTATGTAAGGCCCTTGACCCTCCACCCACAAGGAACAAGAAGCTTCAGATCGTCACACGAAAAGTGAACTCGAAAGGAAAGAAGACTGTGGTGTCTTGGCTTCGTTACTTTAAATCTATGCCGTCTGCTGTCCACATCCAGCACATATACTAAGACCGGTGGCAAAGATCTCAAGGGCACGCAAAGCTACACGCTGAATTTCGGGATTGCTCTGGCAGAGCTGTGCCTCAGCTTATAACAAACCACAAATTCCACTAAGCCTTCCTGATATGATAGCAACTCGCACTTATGCCGTCTTGAGTTTTGGCTACCTAAAACCCCAAACTCGCTCCTCTACAGTTCTAATATGAAACCATAAATTCCACCCCAAGCCTTCCTATACAGATCTTATAGCAACTCACACTTATGCTGTCTTGAGTTTTGGCTACCTAAAACCCGAAACTCGCTCCTCTACAGTTCTAATATGAAACCACCAATGCCACCCCAAGCCTTCCTATACAGATCTTATAGCAACTGACACTTATACCGTCTTGAGTTTTGGCTACCTAAAACCCCAAAGTCGCTCCTCTACAGTTCTAATATGAAACCACCAATGCCACCCCAAGCCTTCCTATACAGATCTTATAGCAACTGACACTTATACCGTCTTGAGTTTTGGCTACCTAAAACCCCAAAGTCGCTCCTCTACAGTTCTAATATGAAACCACCAATGCCACCCCAAGCCTTCCTATACAGATCTTATAGCAACTGACACTTATACCGTCTTGAGTTTTGGCTACCTAAAACCCCAAAGTCGCTCCTCTACAGTTCTAATATGAAACCATAATTTCCACCCCAAGCCTTCCTAAGCACATCTTATAGCAACTGTCACTTATGCCGTCTTGAGTTTTGGCTACCTAAAACCCGAAACTCACTCCTCTACAGTTCTAATATTTTAAACCACGAATGCCACCCCAAGCCTTCCTTCCATTCCACCCCAAGGCTTCCTGCATAGATCCTATAGCAACCGACACGTATGCTGTTTTGAGTTATTGGCTACCTAACCTCAATTATATGAAACCATCCATTCCACCCCAAGCCTTCCCGCATAGATCCTATAGCAACTCACACTAGATGCCATAGCTATAACACCTCGGCTAATCGCTCTAGTATACCACCCGGGCCCGGAATGGAATCGAAGATTTGATTCTTGCAGGGTCCTTTACACTTATCGGGGTTTACACAATTAAGCTGGGGTCACAGACCAGGTATCGAGAAGCCAAGCGAAGTGTGGCTTCCGCCCATCCGGCAGCCGCTTCCTGGGATGATGTTGATCTTATGTTGGCCGAGCCAGAGGATGTTTATGTTGGCGAGCTCGACGACTTGTTGGGAAAGCCTGCTTCATGGAAGTAAGCATGCATATGCATAATTTATGCTATAATTAGAGCTGCTAGCCTTGGGGCCTGCCCCAACCGAAAGGCTACTTGGACAATGATCGAAATCGAGGTGTTGCTGCTAGGAAAAGCGAACTGTGCTCATGAATCCTGATCGTGTCACTTAACTGCGAGAAGCACATACCGTGTCAGTTGGCCTGGCACTGTGTCATTTCGTGTCACTGCTGTGTCGTTTCGTGTCACTTGTTCCGGCGGGGTTGTCTTGGGGCCTTAGGTTTCGGGGCTGGTTCGGCCCCACATTTCGTGTCACTACCGTGTCACTTGCGTGTCATTTGGGGGCCCAAACTAGTCACTTACCATTCTAACTGACTGTTTCGGGAGGGCCAATTCGTGTCACTACCGTGTCACTTGCGTGTCATTTGGGGCCCTTTGATCTGGGTTTTAGACCATGGAGTGAGGGGTCGACCGTGTCAATTGCTGCAGAGCAATGATCCGAGATAATGTAGCTGGAGTGCTCAACATCGGTAGAAGTCAGATCGATGGGACCCGAGCGCATGAAGACCATGCCCAGCATCGCTGTGATGCTCGGCTGTGCATATGGATCCCGCCCATGTATATTCTAGTGACCTAGATCGACATCCCCGTGCCCGATTATTAGATCAGCTGTGTTGAGGATCACCGCGGGCGACAGCCAACCCGGCCAAGACACGAGCCACGAGGCCGAGCATGGACCGCATGCATGTACTTCGTGGATAACCTCGGATCAATCTTGCAGTATATATATTGCACCGGATTCCTAGTATACCGGGGTCAGGATATCCAGGTCTACTCCACACAGATCCAGGGTCCCAGGGTTCAGGCCCCAAACCAGCCCAAGACCCCAAAATGTAAGGCCTTAAGAACCCCAAATTTTAAGCCCCAAAGCTCCACACAGATCCAAGGTACCAGGTTCAGGGCCCCAAACCAGCCCAAGACCCCAAACCCTAAGGCCTTAAGAACCCCAAATTTTAAGCCCCAAAGGATGGGTCTACTCCACACAGATCCAAGGTACCAGGTTCAGGCCCCAAACCAGCCCAAGACCCAATTAAGCCGGATGGGTCTACTCCACACAGATCCAAGGTACCAGGTTCAGGCCCCAAACCAGCCCAAGACCCCAAACTCTAAGGCCTTAAGAACCCCAAATTTTAAGCCCCAAAGGATGGGTCTACTCCACACAGATCCAACGTACCAGGTTCAGGCCCCAAACCAGCCCTGGACCCTGAACCCTAAGGCCTAAAGCCCAAGCCCCCAACCCCAAATTATAAGGCCTAAGCTTGAAGCCCTACCCGAAGGCCTCAAACCCAAGCCCTACACCCCAAAACCGGAACCCTAAACCTAAGCCCTAACCCCCATACCCTTAGCCCCATACACCAAGCCCTAGACCCCAAACCCTAAGGCCTACAGCCCTAAACCCGAAGCCCTACCCTGAGGCCTAAACCCAGGGTTAAAGGATTGGTGCTAGAGTTCCAGGTTTGTGTCTGGTGTTTTGGTCTCTCATCCGTTGGGATTTCTTGCTGCACGAGCAAGTACATAAGCCATCCTGAAGCCTTAATGAGACATCGAATTATGATTCTGTCAACAGGATCGATCCTGTGAATGATTCCTATATATATAATTTAAAATTATAGGGATCATGCACATGATCGATCCTGTTGACAGAATCATAATTCGATGTATTATAACCCTGAACCCTAGACTGGCTGAGGCCCCAAACCTCAATCAGAGGAACTATGTAAAATACATTATATATAAGACTGAACCCCACGCTGCCCAAGGCCCGAAACCTTAAGGACGGCAAGGCCGGTGTTTGTAGTTTCTACCCCAAAAACCTAGACCCTTAACCCGATCGTACTCAATACAAGACATACAGTAGAAAACCCTAATTAATGTAATCCCCTCCATCAGCCACGGCCCCCGTCGAAGATGCAGCTGCCCACACGGACGCAGGCTCCTGATGCAAAGCTGAAGCCAGCTGGGGAGAAGAAGCCTAGCAAGGAGGCAGCAAAAGAGAAGGAGAACAGAAAGCCGGCCGAGCAGAAGAAGGGTGAGGCGAAGGACTCAAAGGACCAGAAAGCCACCGCGAAGCCAGCTGAGGAGAAGAAGCCCAACAAGGATGCAGCAAAAGAGAAGGAGAACAGAAAGCCAGCCGAGCAGAAGAAGGATGGGGCCAAGGAGACAAAGGACCAGAAAGCCACCGCGAAGCCAGCCGAGGAGAAGAAGCCCAACAAGGAGGCAGCAAAGGAGAAGGAGAACGGAAAGCCAGGCGAGCAGAAGAAGTCTGAGGCCAATGAGACAAAGGACCAGAAAGCCACCGTGAAGGCAGGAGACGTGAAGAAGCCCAACAAGGAGGCAGCAAAGGAGAAGGAGAAAGGTAAGCCAGCCGAGCAGAAGAAGTGTGAGGCCAATGAGACAAAGGACCAGAAAGCCACTGAGAAGCCAGGAGACGTGAAGAAGGCCAACAAGGAGGCAGCAAAGGAGAAGGAGAACAGAAAGCCAGCTGAGCAGAAGTGTGAGGCCAAGGAGACAAAGGACCAGAAAGCCGCCGTGAAGCCAGGAGACGTGAAGAAGGCCAGCAAGGAGCCAGGCAAGGAGGCACAGGAGGTGAAAGAGAAACCAGCTGTGAAGCCGCACGAGAAGAAGGCCAGCAAGGAGGCAGGCAAGGATCCGGAGAAGGGCAAGACCAGTAGCAAGCCAGGTGAGGTGAAGACAGCCAGCAAGGAGGAAGGCAAGGAGGCCAAAGAGAAGGAAAAGACCACTAGCAAGCCAGGCGAGGTGAAGACGGCCACCAATGAGGCAGGCAAGGAGGCAAAGGAGGAGGATAAAGGGAAGCCAGCTGTGAAGACACAGGAGAAGAAGGCCAGCAAGGAGGTAGCAAAGGAGGAGGGGAAAGGGAAGCCAGCCCAGAAGCCAGTCGAGAAGAAGGACAGCAAGGAGCCAGCAGCACAGAAGCCAAGCAAGGAGCCAGCAGACACCCAGCACACAACGCCCAGAAAGAATCTGAAAAGGCAGCTGGACGAGGAGGGCACATCATCAAGCAAAAAAGCGAAGACAACTGAAAACAAAGGAAGCCCGGGAAGTGAGGCGGGGAATTGGAAAGAGTTCAGCATGCAAATATTTAAAACTGTAGCTGAACCTATTATCCAGGAAGCCCGAGCAGCTGCTACCAAGCGACCGCGTCCGCCGGCCACCCCGCAGCGGCGCAGAATTTCCAAGAAGTCGCCCCCAAAGGTGCCTTGGATGATCTGTTATACTGAAAGCGCCCCAAATCTCCTAGCTGATATTTCCCAGGTCCCTCATGCGAGCCCCCAGAAGGCTGGGCAATCCCCGAAGGCAGGAATCTGGGTCATCGGGTTATATCGGGTTTAAAATATAGTACGGTGGGATCCTGCACTTAAGTCGGTCCCAATTGGGGGTTTAAAGGCTATAGGGGTTCAGGTACAGCTTAATATAATAATCCCCGATCAGTGTACGTTGCAGTGTGCCTGGATAAAGCTAGCAAGCTGATACAGTTCTCAATCCTCGGGAAGCCGTCCTGTATCGAGATCTTAAGGTAAATGACATATTTTGTTCTTGGTACATAATCCTAGGAGAACCCACCAAACCCCTCCTATACAGTTCTAATTATAAATGACACAATCCTCCGGAAGCCGTCCTGTAGAGATCTTAAGGTAACTGACATTTTGTTCTTGGTACATAATCCTAGGAGAACCCACCAAACCCCTCCTATACAGTTCTAATTATAAATGACACAATCCTCCGGAAGCCGTCCTGTAGAGATCTTAAGGTAACTGACATTTTGTTCTTGGTACATAATCCTAGGAGAACCCACCAAACCCCTCCTATACAGTTCTAATTATAAATGACACAATCCTCCGGAAGCCGTCCTGTAGAGATCTTAAGGTAACTGACATTTTGTTCTTGGTACATAATCCTAGGAGAACCCACCAAACCCCTCCTATACAGTTCTAATTATAAATGACACAATCCTCCGGAAGCCGTCCAGTAGAGATCCTAAGGTAAATGACATTTTGTTTATGCTAGGAAAAACCCACCAAACCCCTCCAATCTACGAGGGTGTAGAATCCCAGACATAACCACCATGCCGCCCCTGGACAGCTATACACGATTAAACACACACTCCTCGGCACCGCAGGCCAAGAGCCCAAAGACGAGCCCCAAGACAAGCCCCAAGGCAGGAGTAGGGTTTCAGGGTTGTTTGTTCACTGTTGGGTTTAGGGTTTAGATCTATAGTGGGTTTCAGGGTTTCGTTTAGGTCGAGTTGCTGTAGTGTATGGAGTTTGAGATTTTGGGGGCCAGTTGTGGGGCCGTTTGGGGCTCAGGGCTCAGGATGCAAGATTAGTCTCAGACTCGATTAAGGTGTAGAATCCTAGGCAAAACCACCAAACCCCTCCGGCGGGCCTATATACAGTTCTGATTAGAAATGACACAATCCTCCGGAAGCCGTCCTGTTAAGGTAAATATAGGAAAACCCACCAAACCCCTCCTATATACAGAGGGTGTCGAATCCTAGGCAAACCAGCCACAACAGTCTTAGCAGCGCTTTCGCTTCCGTAGTCCGCTGGTGCAGATTGCTGCCCACCCCCAGACAGTGTATACACGATTCAACACACGCTCCTCAGCACCCATGTTGTATTTGCAGGGCACCAAGAGCCCAAAGACAAGCCCCAAGGCAGGACTAGGGTTTCAGGGTTTTTTGGTTCGTTGGGTTTAGGGTTTAGAGTTGCTGTGGGTTTTCAGGGTTTCGTTTAGAGTTGCTGTAGCGAGGGTTTGGCTTCTCTAGTGTTTTAGGGTTTGTATATACGTAACGGGTGTCAGGGTTTAGAGTAGCTTAGGGTTCAGGCTTTCGAGTTGCTGTAGGGTTTAGGGTTTCCAGTATATATATATAAATATATAGAAATATTATTTCACTGGAAACCCTAAACCCTACAGCAACTCGAAAGCCTGAATTGTTTCCCTACTAATGATCTCAGGCTGGCAGACAACAGAAGGGCCTCACAAAGGATGAGAAGAATGCCTTGCAGAAGATGACGCAGCCTTCGGACCTGCCCTACGCAACCCGAAAGAGGTATTACTCCAAGGTCAACCGACTAGTGCGAGCCCCCGATGTGGACCCTGCCATCGTGCGAAAGTATGACATGCTGAGATCCGATGGAGATCGGTGGCATGGCATGCATTCTGAGTCAGAAGGCCCTGGAGGGGAAATCGTGTCGATCATTACATCTTCCAGCCGAGGTTCAGCTTCATGCGGGAGATCCTCCTCGCACCTTCCATGGGTGAGATCAAGATCGAAGACCACTACCGGTCCTTAATTAAGGACAACCACAAGGACAAGTATAGGACGGCCCTTTAACTGCATCTATAGATCGATTACACCAGGGTATAAGGCTGCAGCACAGTATATATTGCACACTGATCCGAGGTTACCATGTTCCAGCTGAAGCAATGGTATCCGGGAGAGGAGGGTGCAGCCTTCATCGCGGAGCTCATTGAGGGCTGCTAGACCTAATTGTATGTACCCTCGCTACACAGCCACCTACGGCCTAAACCCGAACCAAAACCCCCTAGCGCCCTTAGGATGTGTATTTGCACCGAGCCCCTTGATCCCGACCAAGAACCCCATAGCTTGGGCCCTCAAGAAGCGCAATTGCAGTCGAGGCCCCCGAACCCCGGACCCGGAACCCTTGGACCCTTACGATGCGTAATTGCAGCCGGTGTAATTGCAGCCGAGGGCAGGGAGAAGGAATGCCGCACCCTGGTGCCGCCCAGCATGCATTGGAGTCTGCCCAGTGGCTTCACCTTGGCTACTTTGCATGATTCCATATAATTCCTAAAACCGAGGCACCGAATTCCAAGGTGAAGGAGGGGCGCATGTTTCGAGTGCTCAAGGAGATCTGTGATGACAAGGAAAAGACAAAGGAGCAGGTGCTGGAGGCTGGGAACCCAAATGCCTTTGGGGTTGAATCCTTACCCAAGACCCTAGACACCCGATCCGTAGACCATGTATGCATGCATGCAGGTGACAGCCAGTGCCCGCTGCCGCGGCAAGGCATCTTGCGAAGCCTTGGGGGAGCATATCAAAGCTTTCTCAGACGAGCTGGCTTCGAATGCAGCTTTGGTTGGGGTGGATGGGAAGGTGAAGAACCCGAAGAAAAAAAAGGTCCTCACCCCCGAGCAAGAATGTGATCGCATGGTGGTCACACTCTTCAAGAAGCCTCCAATCTGCATCTCAAATAGTTTAGCTGTCTAGTGCACATAGACCATAGGGCAAAGCAAACACTGAATCGAGCTCTCCAGGATTCTCAGCGATGAAGGGAAGCTTAGTTCTCAGATCGTGGATCTGGGGAAGGTGCCGCACTCCGCGGAGCTCGCTGCAACCCTGGAGACGCACAAGGGCAGTGTGAAAGGCATCTTGGATGCCTTCGATGTCGCCACGAAGGGCAAGGAGGGTATCGACTTAGCTACGAAGAAGGCGGCGGCAGAGCAGGCAACAAAGGACATGTCCCCGATCCAGAAGGATATGAGAGAAGCTGCTCGCCGCATCAAAGCGGCTGGCATCAAACCCAGCAAGGGAACCGACACTACGGATGCGGAGGCGGCAAAGCCGTGATGAGGATCTGCAGCTCGGTGTTGAACATTTGCTGTCTTCGAGCTTGAGGGTGGGGGAGGGCAGTGTTACAGATTGCAGGGTCTTGTGGCTTGGGGTTTTCAGACACAGCCACGAATCCGTGAATTTGTAGGCACTGAACCCTAAACCCCTGACTCCGACAGCCCTGTGGGCCCTAAGTAGCATTTCCTGATTCCGCTTCCAAAACCTGAAACCCAAATCCCAATAATACTGCTATAGCTTGGATTAATGTGTATAGCACACCTGTCTTCTCTAAGTTAATTCAAATCCTAACAGCTGTTTTCTCACTGGCGACCCCAGCTCGCTAACCCTAAACCTCATCCCGGGAATCCTAAGGCCCTGCAACCCTACAACACCAATCCCACTCGAGGCTTATGAGGGATCAAAGATGATGGACAGCGATGTAAATTATGCGCCAAACAGGAACCTCAACTGCACTTACCGGAATCCGAAAATGTGACCTAATCCCGGCCTTGATGCACCCCGAACCCTAATTTCGAAACCAAGGCTGCCAATTCGATCGATGACTATGTATGCAAGATTGCCAATGGTGGTCAAGATGGATTCTGGATCACGAACTAATTCTGCGAGCCTCTCGGATGCAAGTGCTTTAGCAGACTCCCCGATATCAGTGGCCCGCCATGCAGGGATGCCCACGGTGATTTACATGTGTACGAACTTCCGTGAGTGAGCCCAGCTTGCGTGCGCGAGGAAGGCCGGTGAAATCTAGGGTAAATTATGTCGAACTAACTGGTCCTGGGGCGCCCCGGGAACCACCAACAAATCTGAAGTGTCGATCCTGCGTGCGAGTTTCTACCTTTGCATATTGCCAGGAAGCCTGTGCGTGTGTGTAGATCTAGATCTGTGAAACCAACTAGCTCCAATCAATCCTGCATGGCCTCCTGAGCACGTGCTGCCGTAGTCTGATCTATGCTGCACTAAATTATGGGGTGCAGGGGAACCTGAAGCCATGCCAAGCAACAGCTGCTTGCAATGGTCTCCGATGCCAGGGTGAACCTTGGCCGAGAAACGTGCAAAAGAGTCGGAGCCCGCATGCTGGCCAGTATCGTCGTTAACCATGCATATGATTGCCTGCTGAGAAAGTACTGCATGTGTGCCAGTGCAGCTGCATCAAGATCCAAGTCCCAGGTGGTGCTGCTTCAAATGAGGATCCCAGCCAAGCCTTACCCTAAACCCTAAGCCTCTAAGCCCAAAGCCCTAGACCCAATAATAGACTTCGAAGATGTAACAGCTATGGCTTTTAACCTGAAGCCACCGGGGCTTAAATCCAAATGCAAGGACCGTCAGCTGGATCTAGTGTGATTTGAAATCCTATGTTGGAGCTAGCCAAATAAAAAAAAACTGAAGCCCAAACCCTCAACCTCGAAGCCCCTAGATCCCTAAACCCCTATATCCATAAAGCCCTAAATCCCCTTAATCCCCTAAAACCGTAACCCCACAAATCCCCTAGATCCCTAAACTCCCAAATTGTTCTGGTGTTAGACTGAACCCCCCAACATATATGGAGCCCTACTTATAACCACCCTTTGTGCTGTGATCGATGAAAAAATGGCCTTCGTCCTGACGTGCTTCTGTGACTGAGCTTGAGGCCTGCATGTACATTGGCTGGATATTGTGCATGCATTCTAGTCTTTGGCAGGAGCAGTGATTTATATGCAGCCTTTGGACCGGTGATCTACAAGGCCGAGTCTCAGGATCGACTAAACTCAGGTGTGCCCCAAACCCAAGCTAAGCTGTGCTTGAAATGCCTAAAGCAAAACCCGGAAAGGCGGCCCAATCGAATTCGCCAAGGATCCATATAATCGCGAATGCTGGGATCTGCCTGGACTCGATTTCTGATTATATATCCTGGTCCCGGCCTGCTGGCATCTACACCACCGACTTCGAGGACTGTCTTGTGTTTCGAGTTGGGTTTGGGCAGGCTTCTGGAACCCACTGAAGATGCAAAGTGATGCAGGACATGTTCTTCCGATGGACTTAGTGCAAGAGCTGCTTGAACTGTCAAACACACTGTCGGCTTGGAAGATTAAACGGATCTTTGATGCGATCTCCAGCCGCATTCCATCGCTATGGCTTCCGATTTTTGTCTGCAGCATCAAACTACCGGAACTCCGAGTGTGCATGCGACGAGCGCTGCTGGCTAAGGCCTTCCTTACAAGACCTGGCCGGATACTCCACTGACAAAAATGCACACCGCAACTTTGTGAACTGGATCAATCGCCAACCTTGGCGAAAAATATTACCGAGGCCCACAGAGATCCTTGCTTGAATGTTGGCTTCCAATGCTGTAAGCCTGCCGCAGGGTTTAGTGTTTCAGCGCTTTGTTTGTCAGCAAGATTATTCCAGCCGAGGGTCAAAGTTCTTTTGGTCGACAAGAAGAAGCCGAAGAAAGACCAGATATATGAATCCACCTGGCATATCATGCTGCCGCATGACACGCTCGGGGCTGAGACTGATGCCGATGCAGCTCATGGACAAAATCCGGCACTACCCGACCCAATACATAGGATCGAATTATATAATTCTCATTGTCCCTAAACCCTAAAGGTCGTGCAGGATTTTGTTTAAGGCAGTTATGGTTTAGAGCGAAACCCAGAACCTATCTCTGCAAGTTAAAAGCTCCTCAAGCCAAGCGCGAAACCCTCCTCCCAAAGCCCCACCCTGAACCCCTAAACCCTGAACCCCTAAACCCTCCTCCCTAAACCCTAAACCCCTAAACCCAAAACCCTAGACGCTTCCCCAACAGCGAATCCCCGAGGCCTCAGTTTGGCAGAGGAGCCGAAATGCCCAGAAGCCCGGATGTCCTAAAGCCTAAACTATAGCATTTAAAAGTGTGCATGGGGTGGCTATCGATCCCTCAGCTCCTGAGGCTCCGGTCTGTCTACAACTATTCGATGGATGAATTCCAAAGGTTATTCCTCGGCAATGACGGTGTGCCTTGGACAGCATCATCTCCTGCTCAGGGATCCAAAAAGCAGCTGTGTCGACCCACCTCGGATTGGTGAATCAGTCGTTAAACCGAGGATGCTCTTCGTTTCTGGAAAAACATTGAGCACACCGAGCAACTCGATCGGCAATACTTCAGTGACTTTACAAGAATACAGGAGCCTGTGACACAGGATGCTAGGTCTGTCACATGCATGCATGGTTTATGCAACAGAGGTGGTTTCAGCAGCATCCCCTCCTTTCAACCTTATCAGCTCCTGGTCCGCATTCACGGGTTTAGGGTTTCAAGTGTTAATTCTGGTGCTGCCAGACAATAATCACTCCTAGTCCGGCTTGGAGACCGGGCATGATCGATTTTGCAACTGGTGAACCCAGGACGCCGAGCTGGCAAGGGTCATTCCCCTGGAGGTTCATGGGGATGATGCTGACTCCCACAGACGGAGAACCTTCTTGGTGACAAGCTTTCAATCTGCCCTTACTCGTGGTGCGACTCTGGACACGCTATTTCCAATGTACTGTTTGGACAATGCGCAATCATCCGAGTACACCATGGGGCAGTTGGATCTGCAGGTGGTATGGAGTTTTCAACAACTTCAGATGGGCCACCTGTTTGATCACGATGCTTTTGGTCACCCGCTGCCGACGTCGACAGCTGCCCGCCGAGGCAGCATCATGGGCCCCTTCAGGGCAGTCTGGGTCGGCATGAAAGGTGATCAAGCGTATATCAAGAAGGTTCTCAAGCTGTCGAATTCCTGGGTGAGCTCTCATATCTGTCCCTTCTGCAAGGCTGGGCAGTCTTCAACTGGGCAGTGATCAATCTAGACCTCTCGAGCTTGTACGTGTGGTTCAAATCAAACCCAAAAGTTCTGACCCCTGAAGGCTTCTTCTGATGCAAGCACTGGGCTGCTGTACACAGAAACTGGCTGTAATGCACGGCACCGCAATACGTGTCTCTACTGCCTGGTGCATGCACGTTTGATTTTGGTTCCGGTGAACAGGCTTTGGGCTGGCTTTAGGGTTTATGGCTGAAGGCAACGGGCTGGTTTCAGGGTTTAGGGCTCAGGGCTTTGGGTTGGCTTTACGCCTTACGTTGTAGGTGTCTAATCAATGACAACATGTTAGGGACGCAACCTGTAGCATGTGGTTACTCCATCCCAAGGTTGACGACTGAGCAAGAGTTCTTCCAGAGCATTGCTCGCAGTCCCTGGTTGCTATGCCCCGGCATGACGCCCTCTCGTATATGGCCGGACTACTTGCATATTGTTGATCTGGCCTTGGCGCCTGACGCCGCGGCATCAGCAGCATGGCTACATAGTGTCGGCTAAGTGTCGCAGTGCTTGTCTGTGCAGAATTCTGTTCCCTACAGGCCCTCTTGGAGCTCACAAAGGATGCTTCGCACTGGCCAGGCCTTTCTGGGATGAAAACTCGAGCTGCTAAACAGGTTGCTGTAATTCCTTCTCCAGAGTCGCAGAAGCAAGGCCGTGATCAGCAAGAGCGACTGAGCAATGCCTATGCCGAGTACGCAGCGGCATGCAGGGCGAACAGTGTGCGCCACATGGCATGTATACGAATCATGTAAAATATATGAATTTAAGAGACCCTGGGGAGATTCGCGTCCTCGGGGTTTAGGGGACCCTTAATCAGGGGGATCCAATGCGCAAAAAATATTGGGATCCGATTTACCGGGCTTCATACCCTGATCCTATGTTTTTCGGAAGGGGGGGACAGGGGGGGGGGGGCTAGTGAACATATTGACGTCGGGGTCGGGATTAGTTTTGCTTGGTCCTTTCAGACAAATCGAGGCTGCAAAGCTCCACCATTCGATCTCACTGCAATGAAGGCCAATCCTGCTACTGGGAAGTTTCCTACCTTGGCCCAGAAACATTTGAGTGGAGCTGTGCCTTGGTCTGGACAGCTTTTGATTTTCGAGAGACTATAAGCCGGGGCCTAGGATCCTAGTAAGTAATATATGTTCATGCATCCAGGAGTCCATAATCCTGGTGCGCTGGCTGGCTGGGAAATGTTGGGCTGTGGCTTCTGTTACACAAAGCCAGCACGACCTCTTACGTGCTGGCGTTTTCGTCGGGCTGGACCGACTTCGATGCACCTTCGTGGATGCAGGCTGTGTGCTGAGCCAGCAAGACCGAGAACAAGCTGAGTTTTTCAGTGATTTATATCATTGCTCTCTCATGGGAGCCCTGTCCATATACATCAGTTCTACCAGGCTAGATTCAGCGGCAAGGGAAGTATAGCACGATCATAATCGCAGACCTCCAGAATCATGTCTGCTTTGCCTGATCCAAGGACTGGCTCGTGAAGCTGTCGCAGCTCGCAAATTACTCTGGAAAATCAGACCAAAATTCCATGCGAATCTTGGCTGCACCGTGTTGCCTCTCCCTTTCCCTGCCAAGCCCCCGTATCGCCCGCCCTGAAAGTGTCTTAAGATCGAATGGAACTCAACGCTGCGAGCAGCAAAGGTTAGACCACTTAGTGCTCGATGCTGCTGCACTGACCAACCCACTGCGGGTGGCGAACTACCAAGAAGAGGATTTGGTCGGCAGGATCAAACGGAAACTTGGCTGGCTTTAGGGTTTAGGGTTTAGGGTTTATATAGCTTCCATCAATAGTTGCCCAGAGCCTCTAGGCCTGCTCCGACATGCTGAACTCAGGATGGCTATTCTGGAAAACCCTGTCAAGCTCGGTCAGAGTGTCCTGGAGAGGTGGGCCTGGTATGCTGCGATCAAGTGGCACAATGCCAGACTGGAAGCTGCCGAGTCAGACGAGTCCGAGTGAAAAGACCTGCCATCCCCGAAGCTTGAAGCCTTCAACAGCCCTGAACCCTTCCGAAACGCAACCCTGAACCTTACGACGGAGATCCAGCAGCTCGCTCTCATAGGGTCGAGCAGTTCACTGCACTCTGAGGCCTGTAACGCCTTAGGAGTCTCCGATGGAGTCATCCATAGCAGAATTTGTTGAGAGGCCACAAACCCTGCAACCCAACCCGAGTCCCATAACCTCGATCTTCAAACCGAACTCAATGCCCCAGCCCCAAGCCCTGAAACCCAACCAAAATCTTCACGATAACAAACCCCAAATCCCTAAATCTCCTCACCCTGAACAGTTAGCACCTCGAAGCGCTACGCTGAACCTTAGGAAAACCACGAACCCTGAAACCCAACCCGAGTCCCATAACCTCGATCTTGAAACCGAACTCAATGCCCCAGCCCCAAGCCCTGAAACCCAACCAAAAACTTCACGATAACAAGCCCCAAATCCCTAAATCTCCTCACCCTGAACAGTTAGCACCTCGAAGCGCTACGCTGAACCTTAGGAAAACCACGAACCCTGAAACCCAACCCGAGTCCCATAACCTCGATCTTCAAACCGAACTCAATGCCCCAGCCCCAAGCCCTGAAACCCAACCAAAAACTCCACGATAACAAGCCCCAAATCCCTAAATCTCCTCACCCTGAACAGTTAGCAACTAGAAGCCGAGAGTTCCAGGCCATGAAGCCCTCTAGAAACTGTGCAGCCACGAACCCCAGCTCCCATCTTCAACAGAACATAACATAAACCCACAGCCCCAAGCCCTGAAGCCCTGGAAGAGTTGCTGAGCCCCGAACACAACACCCGTCAAAACCGACAGGCCGAAGCCCTGAAACACTTCAAGTGATAGCGAACCCCTTGATACAACATCCCTGAAAGCCCCGAGCCCCAAGTCTTCATACACCTGAAGAGATGGCGAACCCTCAACCCCAGTGTTTTAAGGGTTTGAGGGGTATTTAATGTAGCCCCGGGGACGCGAACTCCCGTATTTCTCGTGAATATCTATGCCACTTAAGTGATATATGTCTTATGTTAACTGACATGTATAAGGGTCTCTATGTTAACTGCCATGTTTTTGGGCCTGGAACGCAAAACACGTCGAACAGAGGGGCCTGGAATATATACTCAATATACTATCCTCTTATAGTTCCGAATACCCAAAGCCCTGTTCCAGTGACTAAGGCCCCTGTATTACAGGGGCAACCAGCCTGGCTTCGGCGCTTTCCACCATCGCGCTGATGACCTCAGGCAGGTCTTCCGATATTACGCGTGGGGGAAGCCTTGCTTTACGTCTGGGGAACCGGCCTTTACTCAACGGAGCTTATTTGCCAACTCGCTTTTGGAGCCAGTACGCATACAATCTAGAGCTTTGAAAAATTTTGGGCTCAAACAGCGAGATGTTCATGCGCTCAAAATTCGGGACCCGAATCTTCGTACGAACTCTCGGCCCTGAACCCATTTTAAAGTTCCATCGGGCCCTTCCCTCCAATCCTTGTTGAACTTCAGATGCCCTCATGAACCTTGAACTTGAACCCTTTTGACAGTTCCGAGCCCTAAGAAATCTATTAAAAGGGGCCCTGATAATTAGAATAGGCTTTGTGTTTCCTTTTTTTTTGTTGGGGGGGGGGGGGGCATATTATACTATAGGTATAATAAGGAACCCCTAAACATCTTCTAGTGTAATTACTTAGGCCCCTATACTAAATCCTTATGATAGCGCTTATAGTAGCCTTTATAGGCCCCTTTACAGGAACCCTTTTCGAATAGTAATTACTGAGGACCGTATATTCGACCCGTTGCTGAGAGCAGGAGTCTCAGATCGCGACCGCAGTTGGAGCCTCATTGAAATTGAAGGGGCGGTTTAACGGTTCAGGCCATTTGGGTTTTTGGGCCAAGGGTTATCTATTGGAATAGGGTTTTGGGGTGTAGATTATATTATTATATTATATTGACAATCAGGGGAACCCTAGGTCCTAGGTAACTAAGGATGAAGTTTTATGCTTGGTCTCACTGGCCTAAAAGTTGAAAAATTCAGAGTCAACTACCTTATAAGAACCCCAAAAGTTGAAAAGATGAGTTTACAGCCAATAAGTGGCTTGAGGCTCTAGTCCAGGAGCTCCGGGATAGGATTCGCTGCTGTGGCAGGAGTAGTCGTCGTCGTCGTCGCCGCAGGCGCAGCGCAGTAGCAACAGTAGCATCGAAGCAGTACAAGCAGTGGTGGCAGTCGGAGCAGTAGTAGTAAGTAGTAGTAGTAGTAGTAGTAGTAGTAGTAGTAGTAGTAGTAGTAGTAGTAGTAGTAGTAGTAGTAGTAGTAGTAGTAGTAGTAGTAGTAGTAGTAGTAGTAGTAGTAGTAGTAGTAGTAGTAGTAGTAGTAGTAGTAGTAGTAGTAGTAGTAGTAGTAGTAGTAGTAGTAGTAGTAGTAGTAGTAGTAGTAGTAGTAGTAGTAGTAGTAGCAGTAGTAGTAGCAGTAGTAGTAGTAGCTAGTAGTAGTAGTAGTAGTAGTAGTAGTAGTAGTAGTAGTAGTAGTAGTAGTAGTAGTAGTAGTAGTAGTGGTAGTAGTGGTAGCAGGAGTAGTAGTAGTAGTAGTTGTTGTTGTTGTTGTTATTATTGTTGTCGTTGCTGTCGTCGTCCTCCTCCTCGTCGTCTCGTAGTAGTCGTAGCAGCAGCAGCAGCAGCAGCAGCAGCAGCAGCAGCAGCGGTAGCAGCAGCAGTAGCGGTGTCAGTAGCAGCAGCAGCAGTTGTAGACTGGGGTTGAGGGGGCAGTATCCGGAAAAGGTTGAGCAGAACGAGCCTAGCAAACGGATCTAAGCTTAGCTGGACATGCATTTGAGAAGTTCGGGCTGGCGCGCTTGCTTGCAGTGGGGCTGGCTCAATGGGTGCTGTTATCATCATGGAGCCCTCATGCTGGCAGTCTGAGTCGATCTCAACATTCAACTCCCCTTAACCGGGGTGTTCCATTGCTCGAAATTGCTCGATACTGCATCCTTTGGATCTTTTGCAATCTTTTGCACAGGAGGAGCCTTTCTGTTCAAATTCCTTCAAATGGCTTGGTGGCGATGCCTCGTGGAACAGCAGGAATAAACCTGCGAGGCATCTATGGCATGCACTTGAAACATGAATCGATGGCATCATGGCATCACTCCGTCTTGGAGTTCCGACCGAATCGGCTCGGGGGCGCATCCCTTTTAGGGAGCGGCTCTGGGATGTTGAGCGCCACCACAATCACTGCTGCATTGTCGGCCTTGGTGGCTTTGCCAGCTGCTTCCAGCACTGCTTTGGCAGCTTCCTCTGCTGACTTCGTCTCTCTCAGGACCTTTCTAGCAGTGGTGACCGCAAGCTGTTCGCGAAGGCCATCCCAGATTCCGTCGGTGGCCAGGATGACGAATTCTGTCGTCTTCTTAACTTCGAGGCTGGTCACCTCGGGTGTATTGCTGAGACCCAGGATCTTGTGTCCGGTCTTGTCCACGATGTCCCCGAGGGCTCGAGAGACTTGAACTTTCCCATCCACGTAACCGCCCTCGACGCAGACGCCGAGCTTCTCCAAGCGCTGCTTCTCGTCGTCATTCTTGTCGGGGTGGTGGTCTCGCGTCGTTGTGCCAACCTTTCCGTTCTCGCATACAACTGCTCTGCAGTCCCCCAGGTTCAAAAGGAGGAGCTCGTCTTCCTGAAGGAGCGCAATGCAGGCAACTGTTCCGGACGAAGTACCGGCTGTGAACACTTTAGCCTCCTCTTCCAGCTCTTTCTGCATCAGCTCGTCGACTGCTGCGAACGCTTGATGTGCGGCTTCTTCTCTGCTGCTCCCTTGTTCCAGATGCTTGTCCAGTTGTAGTGGCAGGAACTGCTTGGCTAGTACTGTTGCCTTCTCGCCTCCGTGCCCGTCGAACACAGCGAAGCAGGCGCGTCCTGCAACATTATCGTTAATGGATACAGCGTCTTCCATGCGCACTCTGTCATTCTTTGCTAGGGCAAACCCGTGCTGAGAATTCCCACCCGAGGCGTAGTCTGGCAGCAAGGGTGGATCTTTCTCCCGTGCTCCACAGCACGGGCACAAGTTTCCCATGGCTCACACGCCTTTCACAAACACGTGGACTATGACCGTGCAATTGAAGCCGGAATGCCCTAAAGAAGGGCACCGTCCTGTTTGTGAGTGAAACCGTTGGAAAGTCTCCTGTTGGCTGCATATCTCAATTCAATGCATTTCACGCTTCGTGGTCCACACTGGTCTAGTTTGGGCACAAACAGAGCATTGCATCGGTAGAAGATATTGTGACATGCGTACAGTTACCTGGTTCTTTCTAGTGCAGTTACCGGAGCAGCAACACCTCACTGAGAATTCCGTGCTCAAAATCACTTACTTGCCACTCGGCCCCATGCAGTAGTTTGCATCCTCAGAAAGGAACTCGAAGCCGCACATCATGCAGAAGGCCTCCAGGTGTAGGGCTTAGGGTTTAGAAGTTGTGATGTCTGGGGAGGGGTGATAGAAGCAAGAGCAGCAGACAGTCATTTGGTTTTACCAGGGGCAACTGAATCGCAAGCCGAAGCTACGGACCAACAAGCCAATTGCGAAAGGCCAAATTCGGGCACGATGCGACAACAACAGCTGAGCACGCATCATCACGTCGAGAAGCTGGCTGCTGAATAAAAAGTTGAAAGACGGCTGTATGACCACACATCTTCATCAGTTCGCTGTTGATAGCCAGGCGCCCCATCAGCATACATCAGCTCACTCGCAAGGAGGCGGTAATTCAAGCACCACTGATAACAGCAGCACTGTTCTTTCACTGTACTACGCGACAAAAACAATCCACAAACGCTGCCCCTGTTGTTGTTGACGGTGGCCATGGCTGTGGCTGTGCCGGGTGGTGGCGGTGGTGGTCATTTGGAGGAATCAAAAGGCGGGATGAGAATTGAGGATCCTTTATAGCAGGACTATTTGGAATTTCCCCACATTTCCTCATCCCACCCCGTGGAGCCCTTGGAGTGGTGGTGGTGGTGGTGGTGGCGGTGGTGGCGGTGCTGCACCCCCCTTTCCTGTGACAGTGCAGGTTCTGGCACCAAGATTGTAGCAAGCAGACGCTAAGGGCAACTGCTGTATCTGCACGTAGTTACGCAAAGGACATCATGGAAATACATGTGGGTGGTTGTCAAAATCATGGTCCCTTTTTGGGTCCCTCATATAGTACGGCACCTAATATTTAGGGTACCCAAAAAGGGGCCCCATTTTTCACAACCACCCCTTTGGAGCTTCCCACGTTGGACATGTCGCTCATGTGTGCATAGTGCAGAACAGCTAAGCAAAGCGCCTCCCGTGGCAACGGCAAACCTCATGGGCGAGACAGGAGCTGCTTTTCGGCTTGGGGGTTGACGACTAAGTCAAGCTCCAGACTATGTAAGTAATAACCTTTCTTAGTCCTCCGGGTGCATGCTTGCATAGCAGCGTCTTGTCTATCCTTTTCGACAACTCTAGCATTAAGTGTTAATGTTGCCGAAGGTGTTGGCACTGCTGTCTCTGGTGTTATTGCTGTCAGATGTCACATGGATCCCTTCCAGCGGCAGCAGCAGCAGCAGTAGCAGCAGGAGCAGCAGCAACAAACAAGATGCTACTAGCTGCTTGTAATGACGTAATATTGCAAGCGCTACGAAGACTCCGAGTGCTACGAGCACTACGAGTGCTGCCAATACTACTGGCACCACAAAAGCCACTACTACTTCACTAGCATACGTGCACGACAACTACAATTAATATTGCTACTGCTGACTACTCCTACTACTGCTGCTAGTTACCACAACCATCAAATACGAAGTCGGGATCCGGAATGCAGTTGACTGCCATGGGTTTTCTGATGGCAAAGACTTGCTATTAAGGTTCTTCATACAATACCACGCTTTAGGTCATCTCCACATACCCACTGTCATCATTTGTTTAACTCTTCTGCCTTCGGCACTCAGTGGTTCTTCTTAACCAAAACCACCCGACTCAAGGTTTCTCCTTGCCCTAGTGTAGGATTGTAGTTGTAGTATACGATACCCCCAAACCCTATTCTAACTACTAAGACCCGTACGCTAGATCCCAAACCCAGCCCTCTTGCACTTAGGCCCTTGCTCTCCTCCACCTGCTCTTCTTGCAGGAGCCTGCAGGCTGCGGAAGCAGACGACCCGCCACGACCGTAAACTTAGATGCAAGGGCTTAGGAGTTTCTCGGAGGGTTCAAGTACCCAAATAGTAGGGTTTTAGGTCCCAAAATCCATACTCTGAAACATTTTTGGACCTTAAAACCCTACTATTTTGTGCACTTGGACCCTTAGGGTTTAGGGCTTAGGGGTTTGGCGGTTCAGGCTTTAGGGCTTATAGGAGTTTAGGAGTTCAGGGCTGCGTTTCGGGTACAGGGAGGGTTTCGGGCCTCGGGCTTCGGATTTTGGGGGTTTCGGCGAGGAGAATGAGCCATGATTCACGGTTCCGAGTTTAGGGTTTAGGGTTTAGGGCCGTCCTGAAACTTTAAACCCCCCACCAAAATCACCCCATAGACCCCCCGGCATAATACCCTGGCCTTACATTTCGTAGTATGGTATTCCGTAGAGGCACGCTCAAAGGAGCCCATAGACACAAACCTCCTCAGCCTCAGCCTGGGTTGGTTTGCTAACCCTGGCCTCGAGCTAATTGGCCGAGGGACCTGGCGGCAGCCGGATGTATACGGATGAACATATACACATACATACATGCATACATATATATATATATATATATCATATATATATACACACATACATATATGCATATGCATATGAAGATGCACATACATATACATATACAAATTCATGTGCATACTCATTCGCATATACATACACATGTACATATGCGTTTACATATGCATATACATATGTATATGACACAGACACAGACACATACACATAGGTAATCATGTGTATATATATATACACTTATTTCTGCACATAGGGGCCTTGTACATAATCTGCAATTATAGGGTTTCATAGAGGGTTCTTGTGATTCTTGTAGGATTTCAATGGCGTGTTGTGCGAGTAGGATAGCATCAGTGTAAGCGTAGGGGCAGGTGCCGCACCGCTGGGGGGTCCTTGGCAACCTACATACGCGTAGCTAGAGGCCTCATCGCTTCGAGCCGTCAGAGAATACACCGCAAAAGTCCACATAAGTCCACATACTCATATAGTATATACATTGGCCTTGAGGTAGTCCGTACATACGTACTGTGGGGCCAAGTATATACTGCTTTCCTTAAGGACAAGCTTTAGGGTAGAAGGACAGCAGTACCATTTTCCCCTGTGATGGGACAGCCTGCGGGTTTAGGGGCTACTGACAGCAACGGAACATCCAGATCAAGCATGTCCAAACCGCCCGCCCAACACGCCCTCCATCCCAGATTAAAGACCTTCAGAATAGGGTTTAGGGTTTAGGCCCTCAAGACCACAGTAAGCCTTGAACAAAAACAGCCCCGAACATTACATCCACAGCCCCCACACCCCTAAACCCTTGTAGGAATCCTCTATCGCGCCCCGAGCCCCCAAACCCCAAGCAGCTGCGGATACCGTTTCCACGAGATTCTCCGAGTCCAGGTCCGCATCCATCGCACCTGAGATCCGCAAACGGGGGTTTCAGGAAATAGGGGACCCTAATATTTATAAGGACCCCAAAATAAGGTACCCCCCCCCTAATTTTCGGAAACTCCCCAAATAGCAAAAGCTTTGACTGGGTTGTAGTTTTAAGGGTTAGCGTTGCAGTAGTAGTTTTGGTGCCCGTAAGAGTAGTTGTGAATAGGCACCTCTACAGGAACCATAAAGAATAAAGGGAGACGACAACGCTTCCCAACGTGCCAAGGGTGTTCGGATATGTCGGTTTGTAGAAGTATAGGTGCTATTTGGGCTTGATGATCTTGTTTACAGGTTTCTTAAAGTTTCGCAGGTAATATACAACTAGAGTTGGGAGCTTATGTTCTGGGGGCCGAGGGCTTGGGGCTTTCAGGCACAGGAGAGATTCAGAGCTAACCTGCAGGTGCACTGCGGTTGATGATATAAAGCCTGCATGACCCATAATAAGGAGTATACCACAATTCCCATAGTTTAGGGTCATTAAGGTAATGCAGGATTTATCTCATTAACCGTAGAACGCGATGCTCCAGCAACCCAAAGCCGGGAAGGGCTCTACAAGATGCGCGCACCCTAAACCCCAAGCCCGTTATACTATGACTTTAATAAGGAACTCCCCAAATGGTATAGGTAATTATAAAGGCCTCTATATAGCAGACCGCGAACTCCCAACTCCGACCGTTGGGAAGTCCCTAGAACCGCTGCTTGGGCACGACGGAACTTGGGGACAGTGTCTTGCGGCTCTGCCGACTGCAGCGCTGTTCCCTCAGATGCCTCGTGTCAGGAGGTGTGGGGTTCACTTACCTTTGGTTAGTGGGGAAGGGAAGAATGGGGTACAGTTATAACTACTATTACTACCATTCTTCCATTCCCTACTAACCAAAGGTAAGTTCAGTGCTTGGCAACTCCAGGTGTACGATTTAGGCAGTCAAGCCAGGATCGCTTGGGACTCGTTTCAGAACTCTGGGGGCCATCAAACCGAAAAAAGGAACCGAGTACCTAACCCCTAAACCCTACCTTAAGCCGGAATAACCTACCTTTTTAGGGTTCCTTATTATGATTTCCTTATATAAGTCCTTAAAAAGGTAGGTTATTCCGGCTTATGCTCTTTTGGGGCCCCCTAGCTTAGTTATCGTACTGCGGCAAAACGCATGGTAGTCTGGAAAACTCTTGCAAAACACATGTCCCCTTGGACCCCTCCACCACAGTCCTCCGAAGGGAACAATACAGTCGCAAAAATTTGTTCCCACGGATTAATTCCTCGGCTAGAATTCGAAGAGGGTATTGGGGCCCTTTCTACTCTAGTGATACTAAGGAACTCTTAAAATAGTACAGGTAATTATTAAGGCCTCTATAATTCAATCTTGGATTTCCAGTCTCTAACAGATCCTGCAGCTCAAGAGCCGCAGATGTGTTGGATCCCGACATGCAAACCTTCGATGCTCTCACACCTCAAGCCCCCGACTCGAACAACCCTCAGATAAAGATTCAGGGAACCCAGACGTTTTTAATTATCGCAATATGGCTAGGATGATGAAACGCTAGAACACAAACAAGAAGCTTCCTAAACCCCATTTCGCAGAGCCTCCAAACCGTTAAACTCAATACTCCAAACATCTACTCCCAAGATGTTCAGCGCTTTTGGGAGAGACTCCCAACAAAAACACTAACGGTAATTAAGGGGGGTCCTCCATGGATTCCTGGAGGAGGGGTTCCCCCAAAGAGTGGCGAGGCCTTTCCCTTGACTTTCAGGGCGCTTTCCCTTCTCTCAACCTCGCGGATTCAGAGAATTGAGGCATTGGGGCTTGTGTTGGGGGTGCAGGTTTTCAAGTTTCGGGTTAGGATGTACGGGTCTATGTTCAGATCTATAGGGTTTTCTGGGGGGGTCAGATTTCAGGTTGAGGATGAATAGGATTTAGGGCTATATGTTTAAGATCTATAGGGGTCATAGGGGTTAGGATTTCGGATGCCGACCGCTAAACTCAAAATCTTCTTCTAGCATTCTGGACTTCTGAGCCACCCGGATATTTGACACGTACCCGAGCGGTTACTAGGAAGCACTGCCAGCAGGCAGATCTGAACTTCAAAAGCTGTGGACAGTACTGCACATAGGCACAGATATGGGAGTTTCCAAAAAATAGGGGTACCTCATTTTGGGGGTCCTTCTCATAAGGATCCTACTACTTAAGGTGCCATATTAGGGTCCCCTATTTTCGGAGACTCCCATATGCATGGGGTTTAACACCTACTGGTTGAGGATTTCGGGTTCAGTACTGTATTCGCCTGACTGTTGTGGGGTTTGGGGGGATGCTGTAGTCGGACTTGGTTGGTTCATCCTTTGCTGAAACCAACGTGATGGTGCCTTGAGCTAAACCCTAAATCAAACAAACAAGCTATAAAGATTAAAACAAAACCCTAAACCCTAAAACCCTAAACCCTAAACTCTAAACCCAAAAACCAACAACGGTCCCTAAAATAGACCCTACCTATAGTCTCCTTTGTAGTTCCTTTTTTTGGTTATCCAATAATGTTGAGGTTAGGATCCAAAAACAGAGATTTTAAAGGTTAACCAAAAAAAGGAGCTACAATGGAGACTATAGGTAGTTTCGAAATCTCGCCAAACTGCCCGAGGTCGCGAAGGATCCCGGAGTCTGGTACCCAGAGAACCCAAGGGACCCCTTAATGAAGGAATACCTGGGGTTCCTTTAAAGGGTTCCTTTAAAGGGACCTTTTATATAAGGGATCTGTAGGGTTTAGGGTTTAAGGGGATTCGAATACCCCTTAATTAAGGAATACACCTTGAATAATAGGGGCCGTAATGTTATGATTTAAGGTATATTATTGGGATCTCTGGGTGGAGTCTGGTAGCCGGAAACCACTTGGAGGTTCATGGGCAGCTATTAGGGGGGTTTGGGGTTTAGGGTTTATAGGGTTTGGGGTTTAGGGCTTAGGGTTTAAGGTTTGGGTAGTTAGGGTTATAGGTCCTCTGGCATGATTATAAATAATAGTTATAGTTGCCCTTCTTATCTGTTACACTAGGCACCGATTTCAACAGAAATCACGTTTAATTATCGTTATCATATTCGAACGATCAGTGACATCATGAGTTATCCCGAATCGGTACCTGGTGCCGTGTACATTTCCTAACCTCTGAACTCTGAACTTGACCTGTTAAGCACGAGGAGAACGAAACTCAGCTCATCCTACCAATGATAACTCGCCATGGAATAATTACCAACCCTACTAAACAGGATGAACCCGAAATGTTAGGATTCCCTACCGTCTGCTGCGCTCCGCAGAACTTGCAGAACTTGGAGTCATAGGGAATCAGCTCCTCCCGACTTTCATGAGCTAGGTCAGGGTTAAAGGCTTGGTTTATGCTTGATTCCTGGCACGTTGCGCTTCGCCACTGGCTCCTTGTTCGCTACGACACGAGTGGCTGAGGCTCGAGGAAATGGGTGCATCCCCTCCCGCACTTCTTGCAGAAGAACCTTAGCGATTAGAGTTTCCTAGTACGGCTTTTCAGACTTCGGGTATGGGTAGTATGGATTTTTGAGTTGGGATCTAGAATCTAGGGCGTGGGGACGGTCGGGTCTTCAGCGATGTCCCTGGCCCCCTTGCCGACCGGGTCCTGGCACATGCGGCAGGGAACATCCTGCAGATGCAAAGGGAGGATGAGTTGCACTGTGAAACCGATTGCAACTACTGCACGAAACTTCGTACAATGTCAGAAATACTGTTGCTGCTGATATCGCTGTTGCTTAACGCCGTTCTTCATACCCCATTCGTTGGGCGGTGGCTTCGGTGAAGGTGCAACGGCAACCATCGCCACGGAGTCCTCATTACTCTTGGGGCGGGGCGAGTTTTGGAATCGTCTTGTGCTCGGAACTCACGGATTCGAATCTCGAAGGCCCATTTGGCACAGGAATGAATGAGTCACAAGTATTGCACAATCGACAGGAGGCATACCCATAGGCCCCAAGGTAGTTCCTTGTTGGGATTACCTTATAGGATTGTTATATATGAACCCCAGAAACGAACTACTTTGGGGCCTTGGTGTAGTCTGGCTTTTACAACTCCTTCCAATGCTTTGGTGGCGGCGCCTCCGGGAACAGCAAGAACAAGCCTGCGAGGGATCTACGACACGCACCTGCGAGCTTCCGGAGCTCGAAGCCATCGATCCGATTAATCAATCGCTTCATTCCGTCTCGGAGCTCCGCCGGAAGCTTGCTCTGGGCTACCTCCCTTTCAGGGAGCGGCTGTGGCATGCTGAGTGCCACCACCATCACCGCTGATCACCGCTGCGTTGTCGGCCTTAATTAGTCATGCAGAAACCTCTGAGAAAGCCGTTCTGGAAGCAGAAGCAGCAGGCATCAATCTCATGCCTGCTGCCTCTGCTTCCGGAACGCTCCTTTTGCAGCCATCGCCACCGCCAGGAAGGTCCTGCGAGAGACGTCTCTCGCAAGACCTTCCTGGCGGTGGTGATGGCAAGCTGCTCGCGTAGCCCGTCCCAAACTCCGTCTGTGGCCAGGATGACGATCACTATCGTTTCCTTGACGTTGATGCTGGTTGCCTCTGGCGTGTTGCTGAGTAGTCTCTCCCAGTCGCTCGAGAGACTTTCACGTTTGCATCCACATAGCCACCCTCGATGTAGATGCTTTCGCGAAATTTCAAGCGCTGCTTCTCCTGGTCATTCTTGTCGGGAGAATGATCTTGCATGGTTGTGCCCACGTTTCCATTCTCACATACAGCTGCCCTGCAGTCACTGCAGTCCCCCGGTTTCAGACGGACGAGCCGTCTTCCTGAAGGAGCACTATGCCCGCTACTGGTTCGGACGAGGTGCCAGCTGTGAATACGAGCTAATGCAGAATGAAATCGAAGAGGAAGCCTTCATATTCCGATTTCTTCTGCATTAGCTCGTCCATTGCTGCAAACGCCTGCTGGGCGGCGTCCTTCTTGTTGCTTCTCTTGTTCAAGGCGAAAGCTGCCTGCCACTGCAACCCCTAAACCCTAAACCGTCTTTTCCAGTTGCAGTGACAGGCAGCTTTCGCCTGGGTCATTCTTCTCAGGAGACTGATCTCTCTTGGTCGTCCCTACCTTTCCATTCTCTCGCCTCTTTTCCCAGGCTCGCCGGGCCAAGGGAGCGCAATCTGAATCTGATAGCAAAAACCAGGGCTTCCTCTGCCAGTTGCTTCTGCATCGCCTCCATTGCCGCAAAAGCTTCATGCGCAGCTTCTCCTTGCACTCGTGTTCTGGCGTGTCCCGCAACGTTCTTACTGATGATCAGTGCGGATGGAAGACGCAGTATGAACCAGTCACTGCCCATAGGCCCCAAAGTAGTTCCTTTCTGGGATGACCTTATAGGACCATAGGATTCTAAATGTGAACCACAAAAAGGAACTACTCTGGGGCCTTACCCAGGGGCCCCAAAGTAGTTCCTTTTTGGGTGTGTCCTCTTTTTTGATTAGGGACTCTAATATACTACCCAAAAAGGAACTACTCTGGGGCCTTAGGGTGGTGGATACGGCGTCTTCCATCCGCACTCGGCCATTCTTCGCGAGGGCTAACAGGTGCGGAGATTTTTTTCCCGAGGAGTCGTCCGGAAGCAAGGCTGCATGTTATATCATACTGTATGATATTAGTATTATGTTATACTACATTGTATTGAAGTATAGTATAGTATAGGAAAATATAGGTTAGTAATATAGTATAATATAATATGATATAGTATAACATAGAATAGTATATCCCTTGCTTCAGAGTCGTGTGTGAGCCATGGGCAACATTGCTGATGTTGCCCATGGCTCACACAAAACCCTTCGCAATACGACATGTCGACTGCGTGAAGCCGTTAGAAAGTCTCCCGTAAACAAGATATCTCAATGTGTTTGACAGTTCCTAATCAAGACTGCTCTTGCTTGGGCCACCCACGGGGCAATGCATCGTCGGACAATGTCAACAACTCTGACTATTTCAGTGCGGAGGGTCATCACAACGATGGTCCTACTTCAGTCTTGTGAATCAGGGTCCGCTGTCCCTGAAATTCAAGCAGGGATGTCTCCGGTTCATAACCGCTAGCTCTTCCACTAAAGCGCGGCCTCTGATCGCTTGATGGTCACCACACGCCTGCCGGCCCCAGGCCTGGAATGTAGAGGCTTAAAACCAGAAACAATTTTTACTCCTAGCGAGAGACCACTACCTGCCTTGATAAAGTACAGTATAAGAGAAGTTTGATGTGATGTAACGTAGTTTCATATATGCAACACAATGTATCACACGACAGACAAGATGACAGCCAACAATTGGAATGATCCTGAAGGACTTGACCACAACGAGGGAGAAGGTGTGGGTGTAGGGCTTAGGGTCTTTGCGGTTTTAGGCACTGTTGTGACACAGGGAAACAATACAGGCACTTCGGGCAACAGGCGAAGTGCAAAAGCTTTGGAAAGATTTCATTCGGTTTCAATGAAGGCTTCATTGGGGCTTAGTCAGGCTTTGCTTCAGGGTTTAGTTACAGTCATAGTTTACGTTTGATTGGCTTTTCAAGGGCTTCAGGGTTTAAGGTATCGGGTCCGGAACTCAGTATCTCTTGTTTCCGGCAACCAGGTCGAAAACCCAAAACCTTCCATCAAGACCGAATGAAAGACTCCAACAACTCAATTAAACAATTTTCCGATGAGGCAATATCTGTACTATAGACTGTGAGGTGCAGTTCTCTTGAAGTAATAGCGCGCTGGGACATGCCCTCAACCAAGCGACATAAACCCTTGTAAGAGACCCGGCAGTCTTAAAGCCTTGGACAACTCAGCCCGAAATCCAACTTCAGGGCCTTGCAACTCGCAATTACGACAGGGCTTTGGGGGTAATTTACACAGTAAAATGATAAGTAATGTGACAAGGACCCCCTTAAAAAAAGTACTCAGTGTTGGTCAATATGTAGGCCATTTGTAGTAGATCGCGAAGCCCTGGAGCCTGTGCCCTAAACCCTGAGCCCTAGATGACTGAACACCCGGAGCCCCAAGCCCTAAACCTTTAAGCCTGAACACCTCGATCCCCAACCCTTAACCCTGCTTGGAGGGTCGGGGGACTTAGTAACTGGTTATTTTAGGGACTTATAAGTACCATAACCCCCAATTAAGGTTCCTTTTAGGGTACTTATAAGTCTACTTACTAACTACTTACTAAGTCCCCTGACCCCCCAAGTACTGCCTCAAACCCCAAACCACCCTCCTCCGAGAGGCCTCTCTGAAGGCGCTGAGGGAGACATGGAGAAGATGTCCTTGAAGGGCGAATCCACGATCGGCGCCTTCCACACAGAAATCCGGGCTGTCCGAGGGCACTTGAATAGGCATTTTTGTGAGGTTTTGGGAACTTCGCAGAAAATGTGTCTAGTTCTGGAGCGCTGGCTTGTCTTCCTACCCTAAGGCCCCAAAGTAGTATTTTTGGGGTTCATATTTAGAATCCTCTAAGGTAATCCTAAAAAGGAGCTACATTGGGGCCTACGTATAATTAGCCGAACTCCGGATTCGTCAGCCGAAGACTGGTGGAAGTTCACAAAGCCGAGTGTCAGAGCCGAAATACGGACGTCCTACTACTACTACTACTACTACTACTACTACTACTACTACTACTACTACTGCTGCTCCGATGACGACTCCGACGACGACTACGAACTACTACGACCACAGATACTTGTAGGTTCCTGCGTCTCAGTACAACTACCCTTTACGCCCGGAGATGATACAGCAACCGGGGCATGGTGAAAACAATACACTGCACCCACTACCCAACGGAGCAAGCCGACGAAGGAGAAGAGTCTGAGCAGGAAGCGGCGAAGAGCGAAATGATCATGAGTGTGATCCCGCTGCTGATGTCGATGATGAAGGCGAGGATGACAGTGGTCGTGTGGATGCTGTTGTTGCCAACAGTGATCATAATCACAACCAACATCATCATCATCATCATCATCATCATCACCACCATCCCCATCAACATCATTGTCACCAACATCACCAATGTCATCGGTAGCATCATCGTCAGCATCACCACCATCATCATCATCATCATCCTCATCATAATGCGGATGCTGATGCTGGTGATGCCGAAGGCACAGATGTTGCTGATGATGCTGGTGTGGCGATGATGATGACGATGATGATGATGATGATAGTGATGACGAGGATGATGACGATGAAGATAACGAGGACGATTATGGTGATGATGATGATGATGATGATGATTACCGCTGATGGTGACGAATGTGGTCATGAGTCATGAGATTGTGACGGTTTGGGTGGTGATTGAGACCATGATTACGCACAATCCTCATGGCCATGATGATGAGGATGTGCCAGGCCGACGATGATGTGTTGATGGTGATGGGCGGGGCTGCGGGCTGATGATTGCCGTGCTGGCGACGACCGTGATGCTGATGATGAAGACCATGAAGATGATAATCATGCTGGTAATGTTGGTGATGATGACGATGCTGACGATGAAAATGGCGATGGCATGAAGCTCCCTCCTGCGGCTCGCGCATTTGTCCTGTCGCGCGCTGCGTCAAAAATTGATCCGGGCGGACAGAGTGCAAACTCTGAGACGATGCCGCCGCTCGTCGCGAGGTGGCCATCACTCCTGCTAAACCAGAGGCCCTATGTAATTACAGGCACAGCGCTTGAATCCTTGTTGTGGTCTATCTAATATAGGGCTTCAGGGCTGCAGCACCTACCGCCACGAGGCTGTTGAAACACCCGCGGCCTCCTTCGCCTGCAGCACACGTTTGATCGCATCCGCGGTGTCCAGCGGGTACGTGTTGAAAGCAATGCGAGAGCTTGGGGCATCTCGATGTGTCACATTGATCAGGCTTTCAAACCTGAGCTGCAAAGGATCTTTGAGCTGTCTATAGTCTACCCTAAGGCCCCAAAGTAGTTCCTCCTGGGGGTTCGTATATAGAATCCTACAAGGTAATCCCAAAAAGGAACTACTTTGGGACCCATGGGTAGTCTCTAGCTGTCTCAACGACCATCATTTGACAAGTTAACCAAACCGGACCCGAAGCTCTCAACCCAGGCCGTGAATGCAGACCTCATCCCTTGACGTTCTCCTCAAAAGGCTGTGTATACGGTACATCATTGCTCGAGCCCTCTACTGAACAACGGCGAAGAAGCAGTGCTAGATTCTCCAAAGGCCCACGGATGCCAGCACCCAGAACAACGACGTCGTAGGCGTCTGCTTGCCGCAGGTGCTGCCCTTGAGGTTCCGGGTTGCGGAAATCTAGTGGTTCGGGTGGGTTTGACGAACATTCGGTGGCATGCATTGCCCGTCTTGAGCAAACGTGAGTTGATAAAAGCCCGAGCCGATTTGAGCTGATGTGGTTGGCAGAAGCACCCAGCCCAACCAGTGCCCACGGCACCATGTAGCAACGTGGCAAGGACACCGAAAAACTCCACTACCCAAATCAGCCTGGCAAGTTCTAGCGCTCAAAGGAGCCATTCACTGAAACAGTACCTCGCAAAGGTTGTTTATAGGCCGGAAGAGCACTGGCACGGCTCAAGTCTTGGGCGAGTCTCGCAGTTGGCTGCAACTTCGCTGGATGCCCGCATCGTCGATCGCCCCCTCCAGCAATACCTCGAGGAATGGAATGGTTGGAGGCAAGGCGGAGACCGAGTCTTTACAAGATGGCTAAGTGACACATTCGAGGTGCACTTTCGAGCTTGATGCCCTCGCTCTCAAGAGACACCTTCATGGAAGCGAGGTCCTGCAACGCTATGCATGAAACTTTCACGAGACTCACTCATGCCAGCAACACTGCAGTGGGAAACTTGTCGCTTGCTCATCGTTACTATGAGCTTTAGTAGTCCTCCTCCCGCTCTGCTCCCTCTCCCGCACGACCACCACGACCCACGACCGCGACCACGACGACAACGACCACGAAGACTGCCACGACCACGGCCGCTACCGCTGCTGCCCCTGCTACTCCTCCCCCTCCTCCTGCTGCTCCTCCCACTGCTGCTTCTGTTCTGTGACTCCCTCATGTAGGAACCTGATTAAGAAACCCTGGCCCTATAACCCCCAATATATTCGGATACATATAAGGAACCCTAACAAGGACCCAGGGCTTCTTAATCAGGTTCCTACATTACGATCGCCCAATCTCCTTCTGGAGCTGCTCGTCCGTGAGGCTACCGAGGTAAGCCAGGTGCTCCGGCTTCACCCACGCAGACATCTGCTCCTCGCCGGAGAGAGAAGGCAAAGAGCGTAAAGGCGAGTTGAGGTCCCCAAAACTCGAGCTTCAACACCAACATCTAGTTGAGCAGGGTCTTTTGACGAACAAAAAAAGCTTGAAGTTAACAGTGCCTCAACCATATACACAAAATCTCAACAGGGCTCTACGATGCAAGCTCCAAAGCTTGAAGAACCCTTGAACCCTAAACTGAAAAGCCGTGTAGACCTTAACACGGTTATCCACAAACCCGAAACCCTGAAACAAAGCCCCTGCCCCTGCAACTGCCACTCAACAACAAATCGCGAGCCCAACAACGACATCCACCTAAGATCTCCTAAATTTGATATTAGCGGTACTCGTAGCTTTCTTATCCCCAAGAAAACAAAAGCCCAAACATGAAACTGCCACCTTGACTGTTAGAGTTCAGCTTCTCCACACAAACTTTTGTAGTAACCCCTATACATACTAACCCTTACAGAAACCCTTGTTGTAG